CACAAAATGCCATAAACTTAGAGGGCCATTTACTTACTGCTCAAACAGCAAAAGTGTTATCCCTCTGTGATGACTAGTGTAGAGTCTGATAGCAAGACAACTTGACATGCTCCTAATCAATACCCAACTATTGACTGCCCAATGAGAGAAGCACTATATCAGGCTTGGGAGAGGAAGAAAGCTGACATCCTCTTGCCCAACTGCACAGCGAGCTTAAAGGCATTGTTAGGATGTCAGAGGCTGCCCTGCAAAAAGGGATTAGCACAGGCTGGGAAATGGTGAGGAGATCCTGTAAAGGGCCCATGTGAATGTCATCAGACATAGCGAGAAGATCAAGGACAATCCCAGTCAATAGGAGACATAGAGAAGATGGTAAGTAAGTACTTCTATCACTTATTGAGTCCACTCAATGGGAGAGGAATCATCAAATGCATAGTTATGACACCAGATGTTCTTTCAAAAGGTACTTGTTGAGTGATGAAATAAAATTCTGTGGAGATGATCTTATGTATAAGTCACCTAAAAAACAAAACAAAACAAACAAACAAAAACTTTTTCTTCATCTGGAACTCATCAAGAGGGTCAGTAATAATTTCCATTTCAATATGCAAATGTTTTGGTAAAAAAGGATGTCTAGCAGTTTTATAAATTATAGATATTGCAATAGCACATAAAAAGCTTTGGTTCTAATGGGGAGTGAGCTCAGATTTCCCCAAGGGGAAAGTGCTTCATAGGAATATCATTTGGGCTTTGAGAATATATGAATAGAACTATTTACTTTTCTTTTCTTGAGCCAGGGAAACATAGGCAGCAGTCCAAAATATAGCATAGATATTCCTTCCATCATGTCTTGGATCTTGCCTGTTTTCAATAGGCTTTCCTATTTCTTATATTCATTTTAGCTGTCTATCAAGGGCTAATTCATCCTACTTTCTTCTATGATGATTGCATGATTATTCTAAAATACAAAACCTTCCTTATCTCTCGGTCTTCTAGAACTGGATTTTCAATTACGGTATCACAATCCTCATGTGTCTCAAGCGATATGAAGGAAGTCATGGATATCCCATCACTACGTTCAATAGAGAGGTTTGCAAATGTCTTACTTGTTTGAGAAAGGAAATAACATACAGGGCTTGGGGCACCTGGGTGGCTCAGTTGGTTGGGCTTCCGACTTTTGGTTTTGGCTCAGGTCATGATTTCCTGTGCATGAGATCAAGTCCCATGTTAGGCTCCAAGCTGAGCATGGAGTCTGCTTGAAGATTCTCTCCCTCTGCCCCTCCCCCAACTCATACTTGTGGTGTCTCTCTCCAGTAAACAAATAAGTATTTTTTTAATACATATATATTTATTTATCCTAGAGACAGGGTGTCCACACAAGAAGGGGGAGGGGCAGAAGGAGAGGAAGGGAATTTCAATCAGTCTCCGACTCCCTGCTGAGTGCAGAGCCTGATGCAGGGCTCAATCTCACCACACTGAGATCAGACCTGAGCAGAAATTCAGAGTTGGGCGCTTAATCCACTGAGCCATCCAGGTACCCCTAACAAATAAGTATTAAAAAAACAAAGATACAGGGCTTAACTCTGGCATTGTAGCCAGATTCCACCCATTCAAGTCCAGCTTCACTAGCTATGTGACCTTGAGGAAGTTATGTAACCTTTCTGCACTTCAGTGTGTTCATCTATAAAATGGAGATAGTAATATCCATCTCACTTTATCATTACATTGTAGATTAAGTATGCATTAAGTTCCATAATCAAAACCTCTTCCTTTTAATATTAACTTGGATTCATGGTATATCTTGAGTAGGATATACCCTAAATACTTAGAATTTTGGCTTTTACTACACAACATTCTAAACTTGCACACTGTATAAAACCGAGAACCATGGTAACTATCTCTGGTCGTCTGAAGGCTCTGATTATTGGTTGGGTTGACAGGACTTAGGTGGACTGCAAATATTGGTATACCTTCAGTTATTCTGGAGAATAGGATACAGAATAGAGAAGCAAATTCCTAACCAAAGCAACATAAAGACATGACATAATGGTGTTCAGTGACAGTTTATGGGATAAGTGAAAGTCTCACATTTCCTCCTCATATGAGGAGGCTGCCAAATTGGGTAGGAATTGTCCACATACTCACCACCTCTTTCTTGAACAGGTGGTTTGAGTAATGTGTGTTTGAAAAGTAACATAACGTGTACACCCAAGTTCTTTGTCATCAGGTAAGGAGGAAAGAAAAATGAAATGGAATGATGATATATCTACTTTTAACAGCAACCTTCTTTGCCTAGAGACTTTGGGGATTCCCATTTTTCTATTTCTTAGAGTCCATCATACTATCCCCCTCACCCAGATTCATCTCTTATCCACAAAGACTGGACAGAAAGAAGTTAATCCTATCTGGCCTCAGCACTGTTGGTTCATATTCACTTGAAAGCACCCATAATGAAAAAATAAAACACACCCTGAAGAGCTTGAAGAGACAAAAGACTAAGAATACTCAAGAAATTATCAGTCTTAAATAGTATGATAAATGTCTTATAATTCTGAAGCCTTTATTTAGTGTTGTGACTATGGATGACTGCTTCAAGGAAGTATGCCCCAACACACCAAGGACATTGCTATTTCTACAAAAGTGGAGCTGCGAACTTGCTTGTTTTGTTTTACCCAAGGGTATTCTATGGCAGCTCTCATCTCTTATGTCCCATGTCAGGGGCATGTGCCTTTTGTAGTCAGAAAAGAATGCCTTGTTTCATTCAATTTACAAACCTGATTCAAAACAATGGTCCTCACCAAACTGGGGAAGAGGGAGAAATGAGTTAGAGGATGACAAATTCCTGAATTACATAGGTATACCAGGTGTGTTTGCCAAACCTCAGAGCCACCCAAGTACCTCTGATTTCTCCTGGTCGGGTGCCCAGAAGGGAAGAAAGAGTTTAACAATATTGCGACCTACAGTAATAGGCACTGAGCAATTTCACAGCAAGGGAAATCAGAAGGTGTTATAAAACAGAATGGTATTTTTTAAGACTTTGTATGTTGAGTCTCCTGCTCATCAGCTTTGATAGCATTCCTTTAAAAATCAGCACCTCACCTCCATTGATTTTCAACTTCACACTTCTTTTAAGAAGCTGGAAATATTCTATTTTTAGCCTTGATGGATGGAGACAATGAAAGGAGAGAAGTATCCATAGAGACGAACTCCTCAAGTTAGTGTTAAATTACTTTAGGAGAAAGTGAACAGAATCAGCTTGAAAAATCATAGACATGTTGTCACGTGATATGGCCAAAAATTGGGTAGCTTTGACTTAAATCTCCTTCGAGGTCCTTACTATTACATCGATAGCTATTCTCGTTGCTACTGTGCTTCTTACAAGAGCACTGACATGACAATCTGGACAGTACTATATGCATCATGCAATGTGTCTGTGCATGTATACATTGTTCTGGGCTGTTTAAGGATGATATTTCTGGAACTAGGTTCAACACTTATAGATTGTAAGTAATATACTTCATTATAAAGCTAAGTGGTGCTTTTCATTTCCATAGGCATCCAACAGCAGTAACTTCATCCCATGATGACCTTTGGGCTATGTTGTCTTTGATTGGATTAGACACCTCTGTGGGCATCATTGGTCAATTGGTCTTGCAAAGCACAAAAAGGCCACAGAATGGCTGAGAGGTCTTCAGGGACGAGAGTGATGACAAGGCCTACCCTGGATCAGAGTCTGATCTCAGCTCTGCTGACATCTACCATTCATTTTCTGAATCTCTAAGTTCCATCCCAGCCACAGCAGAAACTTAAGAAGCCCTGGTGAGTTTTGCCACGAATGGATCTCACTGTAGTCTTCGGCAGCTCCTTGGTTTTATTCTTACATTTTTTCTAGCAGGTCCTTCTCCTATCCCTAAGTCAATTTCACAGCTCACATTTCCGATGAAATCTCCTACAACTATAGCCAGCACCTTCGATTATGTCTTTCTAAATTATACTTACAGTTCACTTCACACAGTTTGACACAGAGTTCTCTAAATGGCAAACCTCTATTTTGTCATGTGTTTTTGTTTGGTGACCCCAACGAGACTATAAAATTACAGTAATCAGGGCTTGTGCTATTCATTTATTTTTTACTCGTCACCCCTTACTCTTTGTGTATTCCAGCCTGCCTCACTCCCTGCTTTGTCTCTTCCCACTTCTCCCCATTGTTGGCACTCTCCAGCCATGTGAAACCACTTAGAAATTCAGTTTGCTTTTGCTTTTCCTTTTCTGGAGCATTCCTACCAGAGATCTGCTCAGGCTTTCTATGTGAAGCCTCCCTAATACTGACATGCAGTCATCAGCACTTAGCACCATATGCTGGTTCTGTTCTCTTCGATCCCATGGTAAGACTGCACTTCCTCTCCTCTTGAATCCAGGTGTGCCCTTGTGATGCTACTTGGCCAACAGAATGTGAGTGGAAGTGATGTTTGACACTTCCAGGCAGAAACTTTCAACAGTGAGCACATGCTTTCTTGTGCTTCTCTCTGCCATGGCAACCTTCTAGGTGATGGAGCACTTGTGAGCATCCTAGAATGAGGACAAAGTGGAAGAGGAGCCTCTGCCAATGGGAGATGAGCATGTAACACAGGCAGGACACAACCACTGGTTACTTAGGCCATGGAGATGTTATATTATTTATTATAGCAGCACAACTGAGCCCATCTAGACAATGTACTTGACTTAGTAGCTCTCTTTTGTGGGCCAACGCACATTGTCTCACCCCTGCCTCCAACACTTATTCCATTTCCTGTCTGTGTTCCCGGCAAGCCATAAACTCCATGAGGATACGGCTTCTATCCATCTATCTATCCCACATGGCCACCATGGGATGGGCATATATAACAATCTCTGAAGAATGAGTGAACAAAAAGTGCCCACCCCATGTTGAATGCATCCTGAAGTTAACACTGGCATTCCTGGATGTTTGCCCATTCTGTGGGTAAATCATGACTACTCACAGTTATGGCAGGTGGCACCAGTGTAGCCCGTGTTACTGCAGTTACAGTAGAAGGTAGTCCAGGACTGGGAGCAGCTTCCTCTATGTTCACAGTAGTTTGGCAAACACCTAGGGGAAGATAAAGCAAAAGCAAACAAAATAAACCAACTCAGTTGAAATGAAGGGACAGAACCCAAAATGTCTAATATCTAACTGCATGAATGGATAGTAGAAATCAGTCTGCTATATGTCTATACCTAAGTGAGACTTGAGCAATAGCAAAATAATTCTATGGCTTTACCACAAGGGGTGGGTCCATCTAGCACTACTGTGTAATGAAAGGCTCAGAGCTGATGTAGGCGATTACATTAAGCATTTCAACACTGGGGCAAATTGCCATTGACTTAAAGTTAATTTGAAGTGGTCAGAATCTATAAGATTTTTCATTTACTATAGAACAAAATGTACAAAGACTGTGATTTTTACATCTTGGAAAGATTCTACATTTTTAAAGGGAAGTGAAAAGGGGTAGATAATTGAGGTCACTGTCCTCATGATTCTCTTTTGGATGATGGCCAGGAATCTATTTTAAACTGCACATGAAATTTGAAAAGATGGTACCTGCTCATTTAATATGCAAGGAAATTCTGTTATTTCAAAAAAATTCCAACCCACCCTTAAAACGAGGCCTTTACTACTTATGACAAAAACGGTATGACTATTCTGAAAAATATTTTCACCACACACGTTAAAAATGCTCTGAAGCATTCACAGAATTTGACCTCGCAATCACACTTAAATGGTTTTATCTTAAGCATATATTTCAAAATATAAAACCTACGTATGCTAATTATCATCATTTCTTAGGGACGTTGTAGTACATAAAACTAATGGGCTATTATAAAGGTACCGCAAATGGTTAGCAAAAATGATTATAACAGACTGAGACTGGATTAAGTGAAAATTCAAAATATGAATCGTGGCCACAACAAAGCAAACCAAACACATTACAAAACTGATAGGAAGGACAGATGTCAAGCATCACTTGATGTAATGGGAGTGAAGGCAATGTTCCTTTCTTCTGGACAGAGATCATGGGCTTTAGGGTCACTTATATCTGAGTTCAAATCCCAGCTCAGCCATATGCTGCACGGTGTCTTTAGGCAATTTTCCTTACTTCTTACATAAATGATTTAAAGTCTTTACATGGCAGGCACTGTTGTGACCAAAAAATAACCTGTCAAGTGCTCAATACTTGTAATGAATAAAATTAAGAGTAAAAGCAGTGATAAATACTGCAATTCTTGAAACAATCTTTACAAGGGAAAAAATCCCATGAATTTAAAAGGGGAGAAGGTGTGAGCAATGAAGCTATGGAAGTGGTCTAATTCAATAAAAGGGTTCATTGTGTAGCCTCTGAGAATGTGAGGCAAGCAAAAGTAAGATGATTTATCCTAAATGTCCTATATAGGTAGGAAACCCTCCAGCAATGATTGTTTCAAAGCCCAGAAACTAATACTCCTGCATATGTTCAGACATATTATTAGAAATTTTCCGCTTAGCACAGCAAACATGCAATTGTGCTGACAGAGCTTATGTTTGGGAAAAGCATATTGGTAACTCCATGGTATCCAACTATGGCTTAAAGAACAGAAGCGGGGCGGGGAGGACCAGTAAATTTTCTTTGGAACATGTTCACAGAAACCAACCAATCAATACATAAACAAAAACAAGGGGTGTTTTCTGTGTAATTCAGATTTAATCCTTCCTCTTGATTCCCATGCCCAGCTCTTGGTCTTGGTAGAAAGGGAAAGAAACAGATTCGTCACTGAGATGTACCAAAGTCCATGTCCCCCACTATCATTGTGCTGTGGGGAGTTACAGGAACTAGAAGCATCAGGGTCCTCATCTACATATTCCAAGCAAGGACCTCTGCCTCAGGGTGTGCCCTGACGGAGAACCTATGGGGCTAGCCCCTGAAAACCCACTCACCCTACACCTTTCTTCACTTACATCCCAGCACCTCCCTGCTTCTGAATTATGCTGCTCCTGCAGTGCATTTTCTTGATTGATTTTCCCTCTGGAACTGTCAAGTTCTTACACTCCTGTCTTTACCCCAATCCAACTCCATTCCACTCCCTTTCCCCCAACACTAAACACACACACACACACACACACACACGCGCGTGCGCACACACACACAAACTCACACGCACTCCACGATTGGCAAATTATACTATTATTTGCTCCCCTTCCTTCCCCAACATAAACATAATTGCTTTAAAGATGGAAAACTGAGGAGCACCTGGGTGGTGCAGTCAGTTGAGAACCCAGCTCTTGGTTTCTATGTTCAGGTCCTGATTTCAGGGTCCTGAGATCAAGCCTAGTGTAGGGCTCCGCACTCGGGGGGGG